TAACAAATGTAAGTGGATAAGCCCGTATGCGCGCACGTATGAATGGTGGCAACAATTTCAATCCCCCGCAGCATGTGCTGATACTTTGCCTATTCCAGCAGAGCGCTAGCAACCATCATATTGATTTTCCTCTTTCAAAGTCGCGTCCGGTAATACTGGCAATGTCGTCTTAGCGGACAGTCTGAACAAATTAGACCGCTATGCGGTTGTCAAAGATTTCATAAGCGGAGATATTACAGCCGAGCTGTTCCGCGCCATTTCTTTTTACCGACATGACTGGCTAGTTGTCATGGCATGATATCGCTAATCATACTTTACAGCACTGTTTTGGCAGATACTATTCAGAATTCGCGACACTAGCTTGGATATGGCAGCCGCATATTATCCGCATATAACCAATCAGACGAGATATTTCTCGCGCGATTTACGCAAAAGAAATATATTAGCCGGGATAAAATGTGCGAAAGGACAGCTGTGCTAAAGCTAGGGGCTTCACTCATTGACTTTGCGTTAATTAGCGCAGTCAATACCTCTTCATCCTTTGCATCATTTTCTTACGAATGCTTTGATTAAATTTCAGATTCTTAGGACGCCATGTCCTGTATTGGTGGAGGTAAGGAGGCCGTTGATATCATTCGCCTCGTTGACATCAGCAAGGTAGTACTTGGTAGCTATTTCATTATACTGAGACCCAATCTCGTTCACTGGATCAGAATGCGATGTCTGGGGGCCGGATAGCTCGAAACAACATGCCGATGCTTAATCGGGCGTTACATACATACCTATGAAGCGGAAAAGAACATATCCTTCAACAACTGTAATCAAAATTAATACGCCGCGACCATGCAACATTTGACTATTTGCAGTCAACGCGCAATCGAGAATGATCTTCACTCTTGGCATACCGAAGAGAATGCAAACACATCCTGCCTGTATTCTACGCGGCTTTGTAGACCAAAGTAAGACCCTACTCTAATGAGCCAGTCTAATTATAGGGACGCCGTTGAAGTCGAAGCCGCAACTTTATCATCGATCTATAGTTTCTGTAACAGCGATTCGTTTCTTAATGACAAAAGAGGCAGAGTTGTCCGTTGCAGCATACTCCCACAAGTTAATGCTCTCGAGCGAGTTGCACGCTAAATATTTCTCAGTAGCTATATCTGCTGTCTCAAAAAGAGGAATAAAGACTTGAAGCAAGAGGTGGAAGTGCGAGGTTTTTTGTTGTCTCTCGACGTAATTCTTGTTTCGCACTATCAAACATCAGCGACGCTCCTACCGGATATCCGTTCACTGAAGCTACCTTGTAAAGTTGCGAGACGGGTATAGCGATGCATCTTATTCACCCAAAGCTAACACAGACTTTAGTTCTTGATCATCAGCATTTGTTTTCTAACATACGGCCCCCTTTACGAGCTTTGCCGACCCTTGCTGCTCCAAGGGCTAAAACATTCCTAAGGAGCAGTGACCTGTG